CAGCCAGCCTGGCAGAGCTGTTTGCTGCTCACATCTCCCCGTGCTGCTGTGCCACGTCCATGGCCTCGTGTCAGGGTCACCTCCCTGTGCCCGCGTCCCACCTCTCCTCCTGCTGTTCATAAAGCTCAGCATCAGTCCCTGCTCAAGCTGCCTGCCCATCCTCAGCTCCCAGGGCACCCAGGAAATGAGCCTCCCCTCTGCCTCCCCACAAAACCTGGCACCATGGCACAGAGGCACTGAGGATGAGCAAAACTGGAGATGCTGCTTAAAGCTCTTGGGCTGAACCTTGCTCTCTGCCCTCAAGATTCCAAGTGTGGAGGGATGTACAAGATGCTGAGGGCTCTGTGCAAGATGTAAAAATCACTCACAGCTTGTTAACAACTCCCCAGCCAAAGCCCTTATTCCCAGCCTGAAAGCCTAGAAGGCTGTAGCTGTTCCAAGTAATCCTGCACTAATTCCTCTCCAAAGGACAGCATCTCTCCTGCTTTCCACCTCTCCCTGCTTTACTCATGCAAGGCAGGAGGGCAGACAGGCCAGCTCCATCCACAAAAGCTTTCACTGGGCTTTTTTAAATTTAATCTCATTTGATCACTTGGACAGGAGAGAATTCCTGCCCTGGGAGGGTGGAACAGGGTGCCCAGAGGAGCTGTGGCTGTGCCTGGATCCCTGGCAGTGCCCAAGGGAAAAGACAGATGACAAGGCTCTGTAAGTGAAGCTCCCACCCTGGTTCCTCTCACTGCAAAGGAGCCCAGAATTCCAGGCTGCACTCCACAAAAACTCAGGAAAAGCACCATGACAAAAAAAAAAAAAAACTAAGGTGAGTTTTTTAAAAATCCACTTCTAAATACAGTGTAATTGCATGAGGCACAACCAACAAGCCTAAAATCGCTCGCTCTTCTCCATGAACATCACAACCAGCTCCATCAAAGCCCAAAACAGGTGGGAAAGGACAGCACCCAGCAGCCACCCTCCCCTCCATGCACACGGACACCTGAGCAGTAACAGGAGCTGCAGGGAGAGAAACCACACTGATAGCATCTGCCCAGAGAGCCTGGCCTGGCCAGGAGCATGGGCTCAATACTTACTGCTCCTGCTGCCAGAACCAGGGTCCAGGGAGCAGCACAAAGCCCGCAGCACCTCCCAATCACTGTTTCACTGTTCCCATGCCATCTCCAGCTGCCGAGGGGCAGAGAGCAGCCCATGAATGATTCAGCCCACTGCTGGTTAGCATTACATACAGAAATGAAAACAGGAAGCAAGACAACAGGCATTAATTATTCAAATCCAGCAACGTGCACCAGGAGGGAGGGAGGGAGGAGGGGGGAAAGAAATAAAATAGAAAACACAAACCCACTCATGCTCTCAACCTTGACTTTCAAGATGCATCATCTGCCAATGGCTGTGAGCTTCTCAGAGCTGAATAACCAGCTCACTTATCCAAAAAGGGGGAGCAGGGCAGATTCCATCTAGAAATACAATGGGAGCATTTTCCAAAGGCTCCAGGATGCCTATTAGCACACACTGCACTTCTGAGATACTGAAGTGGAGGTATTGGTTACACATTATTCCTTTCCAAACAGCTTTGGAGGGGAAAAAAAAAAGAAGGGAGAATTGGAGTTGCACATTTAAAAGTGAAGCTCTCTGGGGAGATCTGGCCTAAAAAATTTTGAGTTTTGTCTCTCTGGGTTAACTGCTCCATCCCTGTAGTCTCAGGGCAATATTCAGTAACCTGGACTGGAGAGGGAAGGCAGCAATCCAGACCAATCACTAAAGCATCTCAGGCCCTCATTTTAGTGAGGGGAAGAGCAACAGCAAGTCCTGAAGTGCTCTGAGTAAACAGTGGGGATGCAGCCCTGGAGGAGCAGGTTTAACAGCCTTTCCCAAGGCCTGCTGCTCCCCTTGGATCCCCCTTCAGGCAGACTGAGGGGAGACCTCACTGCTGGCACAACTTCCCCAGGGAGGAAGAGGAGGGGCAGGCACTGCTCTCTGGGACAGGGGCAGCACCCAGGGAACAGCCAGAGCTGTGCCAGGGCAGGGTCAGGCTGGATTTAGGGAAAGGTTTATCCCCAGAGATGCTGGCACTGCCCAGGGAATGGGCACAGAGCTCAGGAGCTCCCAGGCATGCCCAGGGTGGGATTTGGGGTGTCTGTGCAGGGACAGGGGCTGGAACTGACCCCTGTGGGTCCCTTCCAGCTCAGGATGTTGTGTGGTTTTTTAAAAGCCAAGCAGCATTCCTGCCCTTCCAGCCACACCACGGAGAGGCCTGCTCTGAGAACCCACCACGGATTGCTCAGGAGGGTTTGGATCAGCACATCCAAAACAAAACCCAAAACACAGCCAAGGCTGCTTCAATGGAGACTTGTGAACAACGAAATAATGGAACCATTAAGGCTGGAGAAGCCCTCTAAGATCAGGGAATTCAGCCATGAGCCCAGCACTGCCAGGTCCACACCAGCCCATGGAATCCTGAAGCCTCAGGAGACGTTGGAGCAAAGCCGAGCATTTGGAGAGAGGCACACACACAATTTTCTCCAACAACCCCACACCCATGCAGATGTGGAAGACACCTACAGGATCTCCACCTATCAAGGCACGGCTGGGAAGGCCCATCCCATGGAAAACCTTGGCTTTCTACAAGGTTCCAGAGAGGAGAAACTGTGGGGAGGACGAGGGGAAGAAGGACCTGCTCCCCCCACACCTGGAGAGGCTCAAAACCAAAGCAAGCCCTGAGCACACAGGCTCCCATCTCCCAAAATTCACCCCACTTGCAATAGAAATCAACATAAAAATACAGGGGGATTTGAGGTTATTTTTTTTATGTCATCTTGTTTTGGCAGATTCTACTGATTTCCATATTAAAAGAAGTGTTTTGCCTCTTGTTGTTGACTCCTGGGATCACTGTTTATCAAGAACCTCTGTAAATTCAACATCTCTATCTCTACTAAAACTTGTATCAATCTAATTACGCTTAAAACCTTGTTAAGCAAATAATTTCCTCTGCCAATTAGGTGAGAACATGCCTGATAATCAATTAGCCCTATTGATATGCTTGTAAGGCTGCTTGTCACTCGTTTCCCTAATTATACTGGAAAATCCTGATTTTCCTTAAATGCTTTCTAAAAAATTAACCTATTCCAGAGCAAACTCTACAGCTCTGTGCACAAAAAAAGAAAAATGGAAGAGAAATCTCTATGGCCCAGCCAGGGCTGAAATCATTATCTAAATTCTTGGGATCTGCAATGCACTCTCCATTGGTTTTCATACACATTTTGTTATTAATACACTGAACTCATCCAAGCCAAAGTAATGCAATTTCACTTTCCCCAATGTGGAAGATGGAAATGGAAGAGGGTCAATATCCCCATCTGTTTAATAACAAGCTATTACTGAGGGCTGTTTGCTCTGGCCACTCCCACGGGAGGAAATTGAGATGCACACACACACACTGAGCACTATTTTCCACATTTTGCTGGCACAAACCCAAAGCATCTCAGCTTGCAAGATCCAAGATTTCATTTCAAGGCAGGAATGGGACACCCCAAAGCCAGAAAACAGCCTCAGGTGATTAATTTTGGGGGTGGAGGATGCCCAGCTGGGTTGTTCTTCCCCACACATTGTTATTCCCCACTCTGGAAGCCAGGTTGGGCCAGAGATTTCCCACCCACTTTTTCCAGGCTGAAAACATTCATTTTTACACTGATAACACTGCACAAACAAAAGCAGCAGATATATATCAAAACTCCAGTCAACATCTATTTTTTTTTCCCCCTGGCAAACAAACAAAAAAGATGAACTGCAGCAAAGTGCCCACTGCCATGTGCATATGGAATATTTTGGATGGGAGCTGAGGCAGGAAAGCACAACAGCCTTGTCCTTAAAGCTGAGTGCTGCTGCCTCAATGGCAGAAAATAAGAGGGGAGGGAAAACAAATATAAAAAATGAAAGAAAGGTCTACAGGCCATGTGCTGGTCTTGCAGAGCACTCAGAAGGGGAACATCCCTGAGATCCCAAAAATCCATGGCTACATCCCAACCCAGGGAGAGCCTGCAGAGCCCCTTGGAGTCCCCAAAGTGGGAAGGAATTACCCAAACAGACACATCCCAAATAGGATCTGGCTGATGTAGAGCCCCTGTGGGTCTGACCTGTTGTTTATTTCTCTTAAATGTTTTCTACAAAAAATAAAATTACAGCTTTGAAACTAGGGCAGCGTGTAGTTCGGGGGTTGTGCACTTCCAGTTAATGAAAATTCAGACTTCAAAAGATAAATACTTCAAAGGGATTACAAAAGAAAAACTTAGACTTTAATCTCCCTAAATAAATAAGCACAGGACGGACTCACGCCCTCTGCAACAGAGCTCCTCAATGTTTTCCACCAAGTGAGGCAGGACTGGGTGCCTGCAACTTTGAAAGGGTGGAAGAGGAGGAACAGGGCACAGGAAAAACCTGTATAAACTTCTGGCAGAGCAATAATTAAACACAATCTCTGCTTTCTGCACCAACCTTGCAGGCCAAGGTGTTGGCACAGCTCTGAAATCCCAAAATCTGCTGCAGATCCAAAACCACCAGGTAAGTTCACACAAGCAGGTTCTGAAGTAAATACAAGCAGCAAAGCACAGGTGGGATATTAGGAAAAACATGGAAAACTTCAGGTTCCCTCTGCCAAGGAATTTCTGACAATCTGAGAATAAAAAGAGCTTCATCTTCTGAGGGTTGCTGGAGAGATGGGCAACAACTTGTGAATTTCTCATATCTTTAATTCTAATAATAATTCTCTTGGCTTTTAGAAGCAGCAAAGAGAAATGTGAAGCAGCCCAAAGTACGTGAAATCACATTTTTGGCAGAGAAATTCAAACCCTTCTCAAACCCTTCCACCTCTCCAAGTCTGTGCCAGGTGGAGTCCCCTTGGGACAGCATTCCAGAAACACTCAGAGCAGCACAAGAAGGCAGCAGTTCAACAGCTAAAAATCTAAAACAGCAGCCAAGGTGAGGTGAGACACCCCCAGGAGCCTGCCAGGGCTTGGCAGAAGGCAGGGAAGGGGAGGGAATCTGAGCCACAAAGCCCAAGGGACAGGCAGGAAAGCACCAAATGGGAGAACAGGGATGGCAAGGGAGGGGCTTGAGGAAGAGACCCCATGAAGAGCCTCAGGCAGAGAATGTCCTGTGATGTTGGTGTGGTCTGGGTGATGACAAAAATCAGCAGGGCTCCACAGAGATGGCCCAGGTGAGAAAAAGACAGGAAAAACCATCACAGGAAGAATGAGAAGACAACAGCTGGATGCTAAACAAAACCCATGCACCAACAAGGAATTAAAGAGTGTTTAAAGACTGAAAAAGGTTACAGAACACTTTTCCTCTCCACAGACTCCAGGAGCTTTGCCATCCTCACCAAGCTGCAAACCAGAAGCCTGCACCAAGCCAATTTCACCTTTTTGCTGAGAAATTAAGTGGAAACAGAGCTGGGTTTGAACATGCCCACCCTGAGGAGCAGCCTCCCCTTCAGACAAGCATTCCTCCCTCTCCTTTCCAGACACAGCCCCAAGAGCTGCCCACGGATGGTGCCAGCAGTGGAGCAGGAGCCTGTCCCACACATTCCCTGCTGGAAACCTGGCTGCTGCCAGCAGGGAAAGCAAACTGCACCAAGAGCCCCAGGAAGGCTCATCTGAGAGGGAGCCAAATGCCTCCACACCCTCTGCAGGCACTGGAATGGAAACAGCACGGGAGGGAAAGAAAGAAAGGAAAAGGAAAACAAACCCAGCAAGAGTCATTTTCCAATCGATACCCTGCACATCTGCTGGGCAACTGCTACCCAGAGAATTAGGCATGAATGTTTCTGGCTTAATGAGAGGTGGAAAGTCCTAGTTAAATGGATTACAAGCTCTTTATTTCCTATGATTGATTCCTTCCATACGGCTGCAGGAGACATTGCTCACCAAAATAAATGTTCTCAAGTAGCAGAGGAGCTGAATAAATAAAGAAGAAAAACTTGCTTTGCCTTCCTGAGCAACCTGGGGTAGCGGAAGGGGTCCCTGCCCAGGGCAGGGGGTGAAATTGGGTGGGCTTTGAGGTCCATGGGGCAACTGATGAAGTCCAGAAGAGGTTCAAGAAGTAAAGTCAGCCTTTCATCACCTCCACTACAGCTTTGTGATTGCTTGAAAAACATGGAAACAAAAATGATATGGGAAAAATGAGATGTATGCACTTCCCATCCCTCCTCCACCG